ACCCTTAGCAGGATGCAGCGCACCCTTCATGCGACTCGCCGAATATCTCACGGCGCTTCGCGCTTGGTGATGTGAGAGCGTAGTCCGGTGAGAACCCGGCGTGCTCCGGCCTGACTTTGTAGGGATGCGAGGTCAATGGTCTAACGACTACGGCATGCACGACTATGAGTACCCCCCCCCTCCTCCCTTCCCTCGCATTACTCTGCTAAACACACCACGGACAAACAAACATACATCTGGACCACCCCTTGGGCTCTGTGTAGGAGGAAGGCTACTGGTACTTCACTCGGTGAAGTCAAAGTGTACCAAGATTTTATTATCGACGATACTGACACCAATGCCATGGGGAAACATCGAGGTAGAGGTAGAAAACGACCTCGACCAAATCACATATGGGACCCGAACACCAAGGTCGGAAAAATGCGCTTGATTTACGAGCGATCGAATCAGGCGTCGGAAAGCAACCACCCACAATTCTACTCGCTATGGGGAAGACGAGACACTTGGCTAGCCACTGCAAAAGACAAAGAGAATATCCCTGTTGGTGCATACGAACCCCAACGGAGTGGCAGGCCATACCCCATATGGATCTCATCCGAGGAAGATAGCAACAGTGGGAGACCACTCCCCCGCAAGAACACAGTCACCATGTATGCCATTGTGAACTTGTCGAATGGTCTGAAATATGTGGGACGCACGGTAGGTAATCCGTATGCAAGATTTGCGGGGCATTTAGGTACCGGAGATCGGTTGGGCAGGACACTAGACCTAGATTGGACTAAGTTTGCGGTTTTCGAGCTCGAGACACTCCCCCGTTACTTGCCGGAAGGCCGTAGGTCTGGCACACTATTACACTGGCGGCAGAGGGAGTATTCCTGGATTGCATGCTTGGGCACTGTCAGAAATGGTTACAATACCAAGAGAGAGATTGCATGCCCCCCTAGCCCAGGTGTACCTTCGTATGGTTTTGGTACGCGACCGATCAAACGGTCTAGACACGAAGCACGCAAGACTACAACGAATGGGGGTTGCCAGAAGAGGATGTTCCGGTCCCGTGGCTGGAAACGACGAATACATCGTTGTATCCATTTGAATTTATTGAGTAGTACAGCATTGGTACAAAACGGTATATAGATGACATTTTTACGGTGTGATATGGTAACCAGACTGGACCAACATTTGAAGATATCATATATAAGAAGGGTAATCAATATGGTGGTATGTACCCAACGATGGTGTTAGATACGAATGGTGATGAGATAGACAACCCCGTTTGCATTACCCAAGAACAGTGTGGGGAATCAGCACACTTTCTGGATATATATGCAAATAGGGCAAGACATTCCTGGTAAGACTTGAATTAGTACGTATAATAAGCGCTAACATATGGCTTCGCTGAAGCAATATCGGGCATTCCCACATGGGGAAACAATGTTATTCACTAGGTGTAAAATGTCGACGTTACACTGTCAAATTTGACGATTTGCTGTTAGATGTACTGTTATTCGATTTTTCCAAGCTGCCACAGCCAGATTGATGGCTGACATGCTTCCAAGTTTCTACTCTTGTCGACCTATACGTAAAACTTTACACAATTTCATGTATACCTTTTTCGCACCTCGCCAGTGACTGCAAACATCGTGGGTGTAATTAGGAAAAAAATTAATATATATATATTTATATATAGCTATATACAGAGACTATGGGTGGGGATGAATTTTTGAAAGCGGCGCCTCTAATTGGCACAAACCACCGCATTTGGGCGGAGCTAGGTTCGCAAAGTGCCAGGAAATGCAGAGCAAAATATTCTTTTGAAATCGAGCTCGATTCAAGGGAAATACAGCCAAAACAACAAACAGAGGGTAAACTCGAGAAAAAAAGTGAATGAAGGCTTCCATCTAAAAAAATCCAGATTGCCCTACCCATGGTGGCTGAGCCAAAACATGTGTGTGTTGAGGAGTGAAGTTTGGGGGTAGAATGAAGTCGGGAACATCTCGCGACCCT